ACACATACACACAAAACTGGCTTTCTGAGCCCTACAGGAAAGATGCTTTCTAGTTATTTTCCCATGGACGACTCAGATGTTGTGATGCTGGGTCCTATGCTGTTGTAATTTGGAGCTCATATACATCTTTTAGAGGAAGTGATCCCTACCTCTCTACTATTTAACATTATCTTGTTAAATTCTTGGCTGTCTCGGCACTGCTAATTCATTTTATAAATGAAAATGGAACCTGAGTCTTTGGGATTGAGTATCCTACCCAGAAAAAAAATAAAACACAGACATAAGTTGTGGGTCTGGAGAGGTGGCCCCCAGTTAAGAGGGCTTGCCAATTTTGCAGAGGACTGACATTTAGTTCCCAGCACCCACATAGCCATCTGATGCCATCTTCTGGCCTCTGTGGGTACTGCATCATATAGTACACATGCGTAGGCAAACTTCTTATATGTGTAAAATAAAGATGAATAAATAAACAGCAACCCAGGATTGTGCTATTCTGTAAGGAATGGGAGCATGCTTCAGATCCAAGGGCATCGCCTATGACTTTGCACCAAACTGAAAAAAATACATATTTTAATGTTTCCAAAACTATCACTACTATCAGTTCAGCCCTGTGTGTGTATTATTCCTAAAGTCATCAAATCTCTAAGTGAAATCTCACAACTGTTTTAAAGAGGAGGCAACTGACCCTCAATGTTGATTTTGGTCCCAGTACGTGATATACTGGAGAGAAACTGTCCGTGTGATGAACGTATGACGATGAGGAAACTCTAGAGTTGATTTTCCAAAGTCAGCCCCAGGTTCAGGGGAGGTGGGGCCTTGAGCACACCCCCGGGCATTGTCTCGGAGCCAGGCTGGTGTGAGGAAGTCTCTGGCTCCCAGACAAGCCTGCTGCGTGCAGGCAATGTTATCTGAGGCTGGTGGGCTGCCTTCCACATGTGCGCCACCAAGTTCCTTGTGTTGAGAGCAGAAGGCAGGAACTGGCCACGCATCCGAGGCAGGGACCCTGGGAGTGAGCAATCATGAGTCTGCTAGTTTTGTTCTTGGTACTTCTGTCCTTGGGAACACCAGAAGGGAGGTCTGATTTGTCATGTCCTCATCCCCTAAATGAGCGCACAGCTGGAACCCACATGTGAGGGTGTGGTCAAAACTGGAAGGGCCACCTGGAGGATCCAGCTCACCCCCAGTGACTGCAGCTGGGGTTTCATTTTAGCTTGCGGCTCCAGAGGCTTAGAGTCCATAATGGTGTGGGAGTTATGGAGGGAGGGAGGGACAGGAAGTGGGTTGGTCACTTTTTCATCCACACAGGGAGCAGAGAGAGAACAGGAAGCAGGCAAAGCTATAAACCCTAAGGCCACTCCTGGTAACACTTCCTCCAGCAAGTTTCTACCTCCTAAAGGTTCCACAACGCCCGCCCAACAGCACCACCATCTGGGGACCAAGTGTTCAAGTGCATGAGCCTATGGGGGACATTCCTCATCCACCCTACCCAGAATGCCTCACTCCAGTTTCCTAGGAAAGATTTCTGGGCTGCAAGCTAGGTGGCATGCCCTTTCTGGGGCACACCCTTACTACACAGTACCTCTGCCATCTTGAAGCACCTACCTACAATCTTACAATAAGCCTGCCTTCTGAGCCTCACCCTCCTGCAGCCAGTGGATTTCATTCTTTGGATTCACAAGAGCCCAGAGACTACAAGCCAGAGTGACTTTGGTGGCCACTGATTTTCTGAGACCCCGGACCCCCAAGCTACAGCCCACCTGACAAGAGAGTGTCCCAGCAGGCCACTACTGTGGGGAAGGAGAGGAGAGGTGCACTAAAGGCTGTCGGAGCCTCCTCAGAGCTGGCAGCATGGGCTGCAGCAAGTCAGACTGTGAGCAGTCCAGGCCAATCCACTGGCAATCGAAGGGTATAGAAAGGCTTTCTGTGGGAATCACCAAATGCCGGAAGCCTCAAGGCAGGCAATGGGCAAGAATTCAGGCCCTAAGTCCATTTTCTAGTTTTTGTTACTTACATTCCAGGATTGTGTTAGACAAAAAGGCCCCCTTTCTATTACCTGGAAGAATAAGAACAATGCTCACAGTTTAAAAGGGGGCGGAGCTGGGATGATGGTTTGTGGGCAGAGTGCAGCACACACACCAGGACCTGAGTTTGGATTCCCGGCACCTTCTCAGAAGCCAGGCGTGGAGACCGGTGTCTGCGACCTCAGGGCTGGAGGAGATGGGGAATGGAAAGGATCCCGGTCAGCCAGTTTAAATGACAGCAAGCTCCAGGTTCAGTGAGAGATGCTGTCTCAGAAAATAAGGTGTCGAGGAACAGAGGAGGACCCCCAGTGTCAACTTCTGGAGTCCGCACATGCATGCATGGGTGACTACACACGTGCATACACTGTATTCATGTGCACGCGCGCGCGCGCACACACACACGTATGTCTTCATTGCTAAACAAAATGAAGTATTTTCATTCCTAATGCTTGAATATAATAACTAAATACTAATTTGAGTTGAAGACCTATTGGCCAGAAGGAAAAAAAATCGCTATTAAGTAAGGTGTTGCTCCTCCAGAGCTTTAACAACGGGCAGGTGAGAGCCACCATGGGGATTCTGGGGACTGAACCCAGTCTTCTGCTAAGGCAGCCAGGGTTCTGTACCATGGAACCTTCTCTCCAGCTCCCGTTCAGCCTAGTTCCCGGTGGAAAAATTCAAGTTGAATACCAGTACTGTGTATGCTCAGATCGTGAGAACAGGGGCCCAATGTTTGAAATAATACATTTTTGTTTAAAAATCGTCTTTAAAAATAAATGTTCTTTCATTGCTGGGTGTGGTGGCACTTTCCTGGAACCCCAGCACTCGGGAGGTAGAGACGGGCAGATCTCTGTGAGCCAGAGGTCAGTCTGGTCACAGGGAGTTCCATGACAGCCTGGATGTCACAGTGAGGTGTGGCTCCAAGAAACACTTAAAAGGTATTTTACACAAGTAATACGTGTGCAGAGTTTCAGATCCCAAGGAGTCTGAAGAAGTACACACAGACCAGTGTTTTCTTTGTTTCCCCTGTGGTGACTTGTGGTGTTTCACTGTGCTCAAGGGGAGACTTCTTTGTCTATCCCCAGCTTTTCAGCCCCCAGTGAACCAGCACAGAGGTTTGCAAACACTTCTCACCGTTGCCTCCAGCTGTTTCCCTTTGCCATTAAGGAGCCTCCATGCAGGTCGCTGTGTGTTTGGGAATATATAGGGAGGTGTGTTCGAGGGACCTCTAGGACATGGGGATTTCTGGGTAAATATCCTTTGCAGGGACCCTGTCCTCTTACACAACCTGATTTTAAACTGCTTTACTAATTCCTTGAGCTCGTGCCGAGTGGTTCACCCCTGAAACTGCAATGAAACCGGGGAAAAGGTCTACATGAGGGAGGAGCAGTGGACCCACCAAACTAGACCACTCCGTGGGCTGAGAAGGAAACATTTATTCAAACTGTCAAGGTTATCTGTCCGGGGTCAGCTGGAAGAGAAACGCTGGGAGGCCTGGCAGTTACAAGGGTTACGTTGGGGCAGGCAGTGGGCGGGTTATCTGGGGCAGCCTGGGAAGCCATGTAGGGCTTTGATCTGTGGGGGTCTTGTTTGAGTTAATAGAGAACTAGACTCCTTTCCCGGGAGGAGGGGTGGGCTGTAGGTGGCCGACAAGAAAGTAATGCCTTTCCTGGCAGACAGAAACCCCTTTACAAGGCTTCTGAGGAATGCTGATTTGAAGTCTGTTTACCTGTCAGCTCAGCTCCAGCCCGGACTGGTGCCCAGACTGCAGCCCAGGACACTGTCAGTGACACTGCTGTTTGGGGTTGAGAAGCCCCCTTTGAACCTGACAAGAGGCATTTTTTGCATTGGAGTTTTATCCAATGAGGGCTGGTGAAGATTCAGTGTCCGGAAACCACATCTTGTGTGTTTTCCTCATTGCCAAGTGTGCCATTTCTGGCTGACCTCCTGTTTTCTACCAAGACAGAAAGGATCCACCATTGTTGGTCCATACACTGACAGCTCTTCAGAACCAGCTTGGTTGAAATCAAGTGGATTTTTTTGGCCTTGAGCATTTCTTTAAGATCATTCATTCAAAACATCCAGCATGCATCACCCTCTTAAATCCTGGCTTCCAGTGAGTCAAAGGCGAGTCATGCACAGAGTGAGTCTGAGGATATGGGTGGCCATGCATCTGGGCTGACTTACCTTGATTTAAGCTTATCATCTGGGCTTTGGCAGCATGCATGCAGAATGGCTGTCTTCCAGCCACGTCTCCTGAACATCTGGGCTGAGTCCTGCATTCCTAACTTGTGATTGCTTGCCACATTTCAGTCACTGGTGGTGGCTGACACGGAGAAGATACCAGAACAGAATGCAAAGTGTGGTCACGTGTACTCCGTGAAACCCATTCCCAGCCTGGCTCAGGGGTTGGAGAGTCGGTTCAGCAGTCATGTGTGTTTCCCGGTTTTCCAAGATGACCTGAGTTTAATTCCCAGCCCTAGTATCAAGTGGTTCACAATTAGCCAACTCCAGGATTCCAGTGCCCTTTTCTGGTCTCTACAGACATCTGCACACATACGTGTTACACACACATTAAAAAAAAACTGATCAGAGAAAATATCCCCATACCACCCAGGCAGAGAGAGAGAGAGAGAGAGAGAGAGAGAGACAGAGAGACAGACAGAGAGACAGACAGAGACAGAGACGGACAGACAGACACCTTGAGGTCTGTTCAGTCAGAGCCAGGCCCAGTCTAGCAGGGACTGACGAATCCAGGGCTCTGTGTGGGATGACGAAGGGGGGAAGGCAGGAGCACTCCACAGGAAGAGCACGGTGGAGCAGTGGGCTGGAGGTGTGGTTGTCCCCAAACCCGGTGAGTGTTCTCCATAAACACAGGGAGGGGCAGACCGCCGGGACCCTTCTGGGGGATTTCCAGACACGTTCCACAGTCTGTAGCTGACAGGGGAATTAAAAATAACCCACGACAGCACAAGGAAATGCTTCTCACATTTTATTTATTTTGACTTGGGTCTACACAATTTTAAGGTGCCCAGAGCCCACCTTCAGTGGGTAAACTATACCTTCAACATAGGGAAGGAAGGCCCGCCCCAGCACTGGGACACTTTTAAAAGACTCATCTGGCTACACTGTGGACAGCTTATGGTGTGAGGTTTTCTGATGTCTCCACAAGATACACCACCATGTGTTTCTATTTTATTAGCTTCAAAAGAAGGTGGATGGTCAAGAATAAAAACATATGATTTATTTAGCTGTGTGTATAATGTGCCTGGTAAATTAGTGGAAAAAGTGTTTTTGGAAAGTAGGGGCTTAAGTGGTATAAAAATACTGTTAGTTTACCTAAGACCGATAATAAAATTTATGGGTAAATAAAACTTACATACTTAGATGAAGACTTTCAAAGTTCTACAGTTGTTCTTAAAAAAATGTATATCCCTTTACAGTGCATTTAGGCAGAGTCTGTTTTTTTTTTTTTTGTTTTATTTTGTTTTTTTTTTTTCGAGACAGGGTTTCTCTGTATTGTTTTGGAGGCAGAGTCTGTTTTTGACTATTACATGTGTCTGAGATATTTTGCTGCTCTGACAAAGGCTGAGCATCAACCGCCCGATACCCTCCTGTGGTCTAGGAGGATGGTTGGTGCCTGGAGATGGTAAGAAATGAGGTGTCACCAGGCAGTGGTGGCACACGCCTTTAATTCCAGTGCTGGGGGCTGGGGGAGGGGCAGGGGGCGCACAGGCAGGAGGATCTCTGCGTTTGAGGACAGCCTGGGATACAAAATGAATTCCAGGACAGCCAGCACTACAAAGAGAAACCTGTCTCGAGAAACAAAAAAACAACATCAACAAAAGAAAAGAAATGCGGCACTGCTCTTTAGTCTGAAGTCTTCATCTAAAACGGAAACTATTTTATAAGGTAAAATATTCATTATTTCATTTCCAGTCTCTCTGCCCTTAGGAGCCGCTCAGAGTTGTCTGTGCTGACCACCAAGACACCTGAGCAATCTGGAAGTCTAGCCCACCGCACTGGACTTCCTCTCGGGTGACTGACTAAGTGGATACTCTTTGTGCAGAGGGACATAACAAAGAACACTGGTCTAGAACAGTCTGGCCACTTTGCAGCCGTGCAATCTTAAAAATGTCACTCCTCTCATCCCTTGTCTCCAGCTGTAAAATACAGCAGTAGTCTCCATTCAACCACGGCAAGACAATGCCATCGGTATTCGAGTGTGCGTTGGAATTCATAGCACAGAGTCTGACACTAACACTGGCCAGTGCTAACACTGGGGCTTCCTCTGCATTTTTCAGGGTTAAAGAGAATGAAACCCAAGGCTAAGGCAGGTGGATCTCAAGTTTAAGCCTAGTCTGGGATATAAAGCAAGTCTGTCTCAACAGGAAACAGAAGAACATAGAGCCCAGATGCAAAACCCAAATTCACAGCACTTTATAGTAAAATGAAAGGTATTATTAATTTTTTAAACATAAAATAATCTTTGCGACTAAATATTCATCAGCGTAAACTTTATGCTTATTTTGTCAGAACAGTCACTCTGTGACATTGTACCGCTTTAAAGGGGAGATCCCATAATTTGTTTGCACTATGCCTTCAAAGCTTGATTATAAGGCAGAAGAATTGAATGAAGTGTAAAAATAAGCAAAAATATATAACTTTAAACCACGGCCTCCATAAAGACTTTAATAAGAATATTTCCTCAGTATATTTACAAACTACCTGCTAGTTAGTTACACAACACAAACACGATGACAATCAACGCCATGAGCATTTTATTCCCTCAGCAGTTTAAATTATTAAATATTTAATGGTCTTCAAAGATTGCACTCAAGTTTTCCTAAGCGCTAAGTGATCTAAAAAGTGCTTCCTAGTGAACAGCCAGGTGCTAGTCTGTGCGTAGGATACTGGCCAGAGTTTCAGAAAAACATTTGAGAAATACAGCTAAGAATATGAGATGGTCCCTGTAGATGAAGCCTGCGATGAGATGCTTACGGAGGTAAGCCACAACTTCTCCTTTGGAGGGACAACTGACAGGCAGGGTGCCTTACAGAGCAACAGGGCCACCTGCTCCTCCCAAATCTCAGGTGTTATATTAAATGGTACTTATTTCAAAGAAATCACTATGTCTGTCTGTCTGCCTGTCTGTCTGCCTGTCTGTCTGTCAACCATCTTCTGCTTCAATGACTGTTCTTTAAATCAGATCTACATTTTTCAACACGAATGAGCAAAATGGCCCAGTGCTCTTAGAGTCAGGAGGAAGGAACCAAGGCAAGGGGCTGCAAGCTGAAGGCCTGCTAGGCAACATGGTGAACCCCTTCTCTGACGACGACAAAAACTACTTAAAGGGTCACCTGTTGAGAACTGAAATTAAACGAACATTGGCACAGGGAAGTTTCAGACAAGTGTGTTGTGTTCAGCAGAGTCAATTGAGTCAGTTTAGGAATAAGCAGTTGGCAACCTTAGCGCCCATGGGAGAGGGCGCAATTAATACTCGGAAGGAAGCTGGTGCCTTTCACGTCACGGCTCCCTTTGCAGTGAGACATGGCAGCAAGATTAAAGCTCCTTGCCGCCACCCTTCATTATAACCTAATAATAAAGTATATTTCTGCTAGGTCTGTGGTTTCAAAATTATTCACTGTAAACATCCTAGATTCTTTCCTAACTAATTTTAGAGTGTGAGCTTGTATCTATGTCTGCGTCAAATTATTTATTCTACAAAAAGCAGCACAAATACCCTTCATTGTGATTTCAACACAAATTCCTTAAAAAGTACGTTAAGGCCATTTATGGAGTCAGGGTGAACCGCAGACTACCCTGGCACAAGTCACAAGTCACACGACAGATGAAGAGCTTTGGGGAAGGACAGCAGTAGCTGCCTTGCGTTCTCCTCCTGGGTGACCCCACAACAGCTCCTAGGGTCCATTAGTCCCCAACATCTCCATCACGATCTCCAATAAGCCAAAGAAAATGGAAACTTAAGGCCAGCAGAGCGGTCCCAAGCAAGTCACCCAGTGCCGTCAGGTACGGGATGGAGAAGCTGTCTGGGTCCTTCCCTTTCCTCCAGAAGCGATGGACCATCCAGTCAGCAATCCACAGCAAGGTGAACACCTGCAAGAGAATGCCAGAGATGACTCCCCAGCCCACCATGGCCACAAGCCCGAACTGCTTGTTTCTGGAAGGAAGAGCTGATGTCTAGGTCAAGAACCATGCCTGACAAGAGGCAGCCAGTTAGCAGGATGTAATCTTTCCGTAACGACAGGCCGACAGCATCCCACCTTGTCTTCATCCAGCTGTGGCGAGGGGAGTTCTTCTCTGGAAAACACACACAGTACCAACCTCTGCCTTGGCTTATAGATGGCCAAGTGCTGCCATTCTAACTCTGACCCCTGTTACCAGGAAGGAGGGAGGCTTGTCCAAATCTGCGAGACAGGTACCAAAGACAAGATCCTAGGGGTGAAACCAGATGCCCTGGACTTCCGCCAGAGACAAGCTATGGGCCCTGCCACCCCTGCATGAGGCTGACGCCTCCTTATGACTTCCCTGGCTAAGCTTGCCCGGCAGTCACAAAGCTAGGCCACACTCTGTTTTGGGTGTGTCAGAAGCAGAGAATGTTAGAATCTTGAGCTTACGTGCTGTAAGATTTGGAATTTGGCTTGTAATTTCAACACTTGAGAGACAAGGAAGGATTTCTACGAGTTAATAGGTCATGGAGTGAGTTCAAGGCCTGGTCTATGGCCCCAAAGGTTGGCCCCAAAGGAATTAGGAAAAGACTCTTTTCCTGCCACCAAAACCAGCACCAACAGCCATGCAGCAGGACCCATGAACAATCTCCCTTGTGTTCCAAATCCTTCAAAGCCAGGCCCCAGCACCACCTGTACTCATCTGGCCCAGCCCATCCTGTGTCTCCAGAATCATGACGGCCATGGCCCACAGAAACCTGGGAGTCCTGGAGATCTCCTCTGTGGAGATCCTGTGTCTACTGGTGTCACCCCATGGTCTTCCCTGTACTTGCCCTGAAGATCCAAAGACAGTACTCTCCACATTCCACTGTCACCAAGACTGAAGCCGCAGCTGCCGTCACAGTGTCATTGCAGCCAGACTCTGGAGCCTGAAGACACCTCTGGACATTGACCTCCACTCCAAGGTGACACAACTTTCTTAAGGCTGCGGTCTAGACTGCAAAGGCATTCACACTCATGCTGGCATCAGTTAGAGGCAGAAACGCACCAAGACCATGCTGGTGGGGTCTCTGTGACTAATCTCGAGCACCCAAGCTAACTGGCATCCTCTGTCCCATCTAAACACAAATATTCTTTGCTACAAAAGGTCCTTCACAAGATCAGAAGAGAGATGGACACACCAGCTGCACAGACACCAACCAGGGTACAAGGAGGAAACATGAAACCTGCAAAGGAGAACACGGTTCTCTAGAAATGATCTCAGATTGAAGGAAACCTCTGAGGTGCTAAAAAGAACTCAAAATAGCATTCCTAACAAAACCTAGTTCAAGATGCAAGAGGCTAGAGATCAACAATATAAAGAAATGAGAAAAACAATTCAGAATGAAAATTCAGAAAAGAAAAAACAAACAAACAAAAAATCCCAGCTGGACCCTCTTAGAACTGAAAACCTCAATCAATGAAATGAAAAACAAAAGAGAATGCTTCTACAACAAACCAATACAAGTAGGACTTTTAGAACTAACAAGTTAGAAAGACAGACAGACAGAGTACATTTAAGGCATTTGGGAGACTCTTAGCAAACAAACACTTGCATCATGGTAATTCTGGAAAGTAAACAAGGGGAAAGTATTAAATCCAATTTTGCAGGCTGGTGAGAAGGCTCAGTGGGGACAGTGTGTGTCACTGCAAGTCTGACCACTGAGTCCAACCCTTGGAACCCTGGCTAAGACTGGAGGAGAACCAATGCTACAAAGCTGTTCTCTGACTTCACACACACTGTAACATGTGTGCACCCCTCCCATCAAACAGACACACGCACAGTAGTGACAGTAATAATAACCCACTTCACAAAGTAATAACTGAAACTGCCCCCAGTTTTTCAAGGGATGCAGGTATACAGACTCAGGATGCTCAAAAGTGTCTAACTCGAGTCAACCAAAACAGATTCATCACCAAGAATGGTCAGTCACATTATAAGCAAAGGTCCATGAGACTGAGAGCAGATGTTTGCAGCAAAGGCATTAGAAGAATGTTTACAGGCCAAATGAGATGAGAGACAATGGAGGATGAGATAATACAGCCAAAATAATAAAAGAAAAAAGATGCCCTGCCAAGCAAGAATGCTATACCCAGCACAATTATCCTTCCAAAATCTGAAGAAATGAAGTCAGAGAAGTAGAATCTGAGGAACCACAGTACTCCTAGTTCAGTCATGCAAGAAATACTTAAGAATGTTTCATGAAATGCACATTAAAAAATTCCCTGGAAGATAAATTTAACCTCAGCATAACAGAAAATTAGTAAATCATAAAGAAAAAGTCATGGAAAGTGAGCAGCACACAATTAGTGAAACAGTAAAAAGGGTTCATAATTGTTAACAATAGCCTTTCATTTAACGTACTAAGTTCAATGAAAATAAACAGATTGACTAAATGGTTAAAAATAAAGCAAGACCCCACTATATGCTGCTTACAAGAAAACTCACAGGAGGTTGGAAACCACAAAAGACACACAAATGGGAGCCAATATGGGACAGGAGTAGCTATCCCCACCAGACACTGCAGCCCTTGAAGGATATAACCAATGAGACAAAGAATGTCATCAGGAAAGGACTGATTCAACACAAATACACGGAAACTGCAAATACACACACCGTCCATGTGACCCCCCTTATGTTTATAATACAATATTTATATGATTATGTTAATATATAATATTTATAATACAGGGAGAGACTCTAACCCAGTAACAATGGGGACACTAACACCGCACTTTCTTCAACGGGCACAGAAACGCTGGGGTTGAACAGGAGAGCAAATGCTGAGCCACACGCATAGCCTGTGCCTCGCCACAGCAGCACACAGCAGGTTCTGAGCCACACGCATAGCCTGTGCCTCGCCACAGCAGCACACAGCAGGTTCTGAGCCACACGCATAGCCTGTGCCTCGCCACAGCGGCACACAGCAGGTTCTGCCGTCAGCACATATGTCTCCCAAGACACTGCCGAGCAGACCAAAATCAAGTCCCAGCGAATTTTAAAAGTTGAAACAATGTTGTATATTCTCTCAGACAACAATAGAATACAGTTACAAATCAATAAGTGAGGTCAGAGCATACATACACAAGAGCATACACACACACACAGAGTGAGCAACGTCTTCTAGATGACATTGGATGACTGAAGAAATTAAAGTGAAAATTTAAAAAAATCTAGGAAACAGTGGAAAGACTTCTGCTGACTGATCAACATCACATAAAATTTTCTTAGGAGAAAAACCGTCACAAATAGAAAAGGTTCATGACGCCCTGGTCTAAAGCAAGCATTGGCAGTGACAGCTCCTAAGATAGGTCACCCTGTCACCTACTTCTGTGAATAAAGTTGCACTGAGACACAACTTCACTCATTCCCTGACTTATCTCCTGTTTAGCCTGCTTTCCAGTCCTTACATTTCATCACTCCTAGATTCCCTTGGAAAAACTGTGGCAGAGAGGTAGAAACAGCCACACAGTTGTCACAAGGAAGCTGCGAGCACAGAGTCTCAGGTACTCAACGTCTGGCAATCGACAGAAAAGGGTGTGGACCTATCCGGAAGAATGTGACAGAAAAAGGAAACAGCCAGCCTGGCGTGTGGTAGAAAAAAGGAAACAGCCAAGCCTGGCGTGTGGTAGAAAAAAGGAAACAGCCAAGCCTGGCGTGTGGTAGAAAAAAGGAAACAGCCAGGCCTGGCGTGTGGTAGAAAAAAGGAAACAGCCAAGCCTGGCGTGTGGTAGAAAAAAGGAAACAGCCAGGCCTGGCGTGTGGTAGGCTGAGGCAAGAGAACCATGAGTGCCCGGCTATACAGAAGGACCCTGTCTCAAGTGCTACCTCTCTCAGAAACAGGAGAGAAAGCCAGGCAGTGGTGGCGCACGCCTTTAATCCCAGCACTCGGGAGGCAGTGGCAAGCAGATCTCTGCGAGTTCGAGGCCAGCCTGGTCTACAGAGCGAGTTCCAGGACAGCCTCCAAAACAATACAGAGAAACCTTCCCTGTCTCGAAAAACAAAACAACAACAACAAAACAAACAAACAAACAAAATAAAAGGAAAGAAAATAGATACCTCTATTTTCTTCTGCTATACTTCAACAGAATCTGTAGGTAAAATGAATAAAAAGAAAAACTTTATAAGGAAATATAACAGAGTATCATCCTGATCTTGATTTGGCAGTGAAGTCATAAATAAAATATGTATTAAATGAATAACTTGCTAAGTTGCAGTGAATACTTCTGTAGTTCAATATATTAAAATCTTGCCCCAGGCTTATAAAACATCCCTGCCTCTCATTTAGTTGACAAAGAATTAATGTTCAAGATATTTTGAGAGACTGCTGAGAATTCCTGCAGTTCATAAGAAAAATAATCCAACAAGTTTGCAAAGAGATGCAAGGGACAGCACACTAACAACAGGGGCACTGGTCACTTTGGTTTTTCCCATGAGACGAGCATGAAATGGAATGCAGTGTTTTAATTTGTGTATTCCATCTCACGATCATCTCATGGGAAAAAATCAAATGTAAATCACGTAATAGCAAGCATTGTCTTTTAAGTGGCCTGTAATGGGACCATGTGGCATTCCAAGAGGTCCACCACACACGAACTGATTTAATTCTCAGACCATTTCGATAGCACAGTATGGGATGCTATCCTTCTTTGGCAAGGGAGAAAACTAAAGCAGACAGAGAGTAAGAACTGCCCAAGATCACCAGCTCAAAAGTTAGTGCTGGGAAACCAGGGCTACTGCTGACACACTCATGGATGCCCAGGCCACACACTACTGACTGAGTGTAAAATATCTGTATCCGGAAGAAAACTAATCTTTGTTAAAAACACAAGGGAAAAGATGGCCATGGAAGATGCCCAGTGAACAGGAGAAACCAAGATATGAAAGCC